TTATATATTTAGGAAGTTTTATAGATTTTTATCTATTAAATAGCTCTTGGAAACATCTATTTCTATCTCTAAGCTACCAACATTCCCTCATCTAGACTAAAGCAAAAGCCTCCTCGCTTCTTTTTTCCAGGCCTCTTCTCTACCTGGCCCAGTAATCCCGTTTTTGTTGTTTTTGAGGCAGAGTCTTGCTCTGTCACCCAGGCTGGAGTGCAATGGCATAATCTCAGCTCACTGCAACCTCCGCCTCCCAGGTTCAAGTGATTCTCCCGCCTCAGCCTCCCAAGCAGCTGGGATTACAGACACCCGACATCATGCCCAACTAATTTTTGTATTTTTGTAGAGATGAGGCTTCACCATATTGGCCAGGCTGGTCTTGAACTCCTGACCTCAGGTGATACACCCACCTTGGCCTCCCAAAATATTGGGATTACAGGTATGAACCACCACACCCAGCTGAGTAATCCTTTTAGGACGGGAATCTGATCATGTTATCCCACTTTGCTTAAAACTTTTCCCTGACATCCCTGAGGCCCATGAGGTGTTCTATCCAACCCAGACATTCTTTCAGCTGCTTTAGCGTGCCACAGGCCCCTCCCCATGGGCCCTGCACAGGCATTTTCCTCTGCCTTGAAAGCTTTTCTCTCCACTCCGCCTGGTTTACACCAACCCTGGGACCCCGCCTAGGCATCCCTCTCAGGAAAGCCCTTCTCGCCTCCCTGGCTGGTCTGGGCTCTCCTGGGGCCCTGTCCCTGGGCTTCAGTGCCTTTGTCGCAGTTGCAGTTCTGCATCTGTTTGTGTGACAGCCTGATTACTGCCTGTCTCCCCGCCAGGACCCCGTCTGCTCTGGTTCGCCATTGTATCCACAGTGCTAGCAGTTTTTGGCACATACAGTCTCTTGGTGAACATTTGTTGAATAAACCAACGCACATGTGAACACATGAACATGGTAGACAAAACAGCCTTACAGAGTTGTTGGGGGGCCTCCTCATTAAATAAGCATTGATTTGAGGATGATTCGATGGCAGGACATGTGATTATCCTGAAGGACTGAAGACCTGCCATTAGTCATACTGTTTTGTGCAATATACTTATGAAAACAAGCATTCTCTGCATTGATATTATTGAATATAAAATCTTATTACAAATATAACCAGATGAAAGGCTATGTCTTTCTATTGTTAAACACAACGCTGGTGATCGCGTTTCAGCAAAACAATGTTATCTGTCACGTTAAATAATGTTCATTTGCAGTTTTCTGATTTTGTAACTTTTTTAACTTACATTAGGATTGTATTAAAGTATTTAAACATGAGAACTTATATCTAGATTTATGTTTAAACATATTTAAATAACAATAGAAGACAATAAATCAGCACTGGGTGACCAGGAGGATATTTTTCTTTTAGAAACAAGGTTGATATATCACTCATGTTGAGAACACTGAGGTCAATTGATGAGGAGTTAGATCACCTGAACTTTCAGATCTCTCCAACCATAATATTCTACAATTCCAATCTTTTTTTTTTCCTTTTTTTTGAGACAGAGTCTCGATCTTGTTGCCCAGGCTGGAGTGCAGTGGCACAATCTTGGCTCACTACAATCGCTGCTTCTCGGGTTCAAGTCATTTTTCTGCCTCAGACTCCTGAGTAGCTGCAATTACAGGCATGCACTACCTTGCCTGGCTAATTTTTGTATCTTTAGTAGAGACAGGATTTTGCCATGTTGGCCAGGCTAGTATCAAACTCCTGACCTCAAGTGATCCACCTGCCTCGGTTTCCCAAAGTGCTGGGATTATAGGCGCGAGCCACTGAGCCTGGACTGATTCCAATCTTATACTGTCAAGAAACTGAAGCATGACATATGGAGACTCTCTGAAGCTATACAGAAGGAATTCAAGGGGGAATCAAAAGGAACAAGCAAAGTATCCTATACCAGACACCAGACGGGACCAAGAATTATTAACTGACAAAACTTTCCTAAGCAATAATGTTCCTAAAAGCATACTGGATAAAATGAATTATTGACTGGCATCTCAAAAATCTCCAAGGAAGAACTGAAAAACAAAACAAAATGTTTCCCAACATTAAATGAACAAAACATTAGAGAGTTTCTGCTAGGCCAAGTTCAGTTAAATATAAAAAGTCAATTATTACCAAAAATATTGTAAGTACATAAAGTAATGCATATGCTAATTAGCTTGATTCAGCCTTTCTACAATGTATACATATTTCAAAACATCATGCTGTGGCCGGGCATGGTGGCTCACGCCTGTAAAACTTTGGAGGCCAAGGCGGGCAAATTACCTGAGGTCGGGAGTTCAAGACCAGCCTGACCAACATGGTGAAACCCCGTCTTTAAAAAAATAAAAATAAATAAAAATAAAGATAAACATCATGTTGTATACCATAAATATATATGATTTTTTAAAATAATTTTACTATGTTGCCCAGGTGGTCTTGAACTGGACTCAAGTTATCCTCCTTGTCTCGGTCTCCCAAAGTGCTGGGATTATAAGCGTGAGCTACCGGGCCTGGCCAAATATATACAATTTTAATCTGTAAATCAAAAAAAGTCAAATAACTTATACATAACACTTAGTAAGGCTGAATTAATAAAGAAAGTCTCCCAGATCTTATGTATTCAATGCCTATTAATTTTAAAGTTAGCTGGCTGGGCAGGTGGCTCACGCGTGTAATCCCAGCACTTTGGGAGCCCAAGGTGGGCGGATCACCTGAGGTCGGGAGTTTGAGACCAGCCTGACCAACATGGAGAAAACCTGTCTCTACTAAAAATACAAAAATTAGCTGGGTGTGGTGGCGCATGCCTGTAATCCCAGCAACTCGGGAGGCTGAGGCAGGAGAATCGCTTGAACCCGGGAGGTAGAGATTGCAGTGAGCCGAGATCGTGTCACTGTACTCCAGCCTGGGCAACAAGAGCGAAACTCCATCTCAAAAAAAAAAAAAAGTTAGCTTCAATAAATGACACTTTCTAGAGCTTAGGCAATTTGGGTCATTTAGCTGTGTCAGCCTGAATGTACCTGCTGGTTGGTGAGCAGGTAAACAAAGTGCCAAGCAAAGTGCCAAGTGCTGATTTCTTCCTCTTCTTCCATCGTGCTCGTGTTACAGCCTTGAAGACCAGGCTCAAATCCATTTCCCCCAGCGGATTTTCTGGTCTAACCTATCTGTCCCACATTTACTTCCACACTTTGCATAGTCCACATTAAATTACCCTTTGTGTGTCTAAGGTGCTTCATAATAACTGTCTTGTTTCTTCCATCTAACCCCAGTAAGACAATAGGTTTGTTGTGAGAGGGACTAAGACTTTTTTTTTTTTTGTTTTTGTTTTTTTTTGAGACGGAGTTTCGCTCTTGTTACCCAGGCTTGAGTGCAATGGCGTGATCCCGGCTCACCGCAACCTCCGCCTCCCGGGTTCAGGCAATTCTCCTGCCTCAGCCTCCTGAGTCGCTGGGATTACAGGCACGCGCCACCATGCCCAGCTAATTTTTTGCATTTTTTTTTTTTAGTAGAGACGGGGTTTCACCATGTTGACCAGGATGGTCTCGATCTCTTGACCTCGTGATCCACCCGCCTCGGCCTCCCACGTGCTGGGATTACAGGCTTGAGCCACCGCGCCCGGCCAAGACTTCTTTTTTATTCCCCAAGGCCTAGAACTAAGAGCTCAAAAAGAGCTTACCAAACGAACCAAATCGGGGTATTATCATACGGCCTATTTCATAACTCCTCATCTGTTGTTTTCACATTTAGTACATTCAAAGACACGAGAAAGCAGTGGAAAACCAATCGTTTTTCATCAAGTTAACTACTCTTGAAATGTTCAGGAGAAAAGACGTTTAAATTCCAACTCTCTGTCTTTGAATGTCCCAGGAATTAGTTTTTAAAACAATTCTTAACATTAAAAATATTTTAGAAAACAGAAGTTGAAAAGGCTGGCAGTGTGTTGGCAATCCAAATGATAACAACAAATTGATTTTAGTAGCAGAAATTGAAATACGGCACCTGGAGCAGCATTTAAATTTGGATGTGTATAAACATCTATATCTTGGTGTCTGAACAAAATCAACTTGAAGCCCATTTAAAAATATTCTATCTGAAAAACGCTGCACACAATCTGGTTAATGTACGTTTTTTGAACTGAGCATATAATAACAGGACAATTTGTCATTTTCATATACAAACAAAAACACTTCATCTTTTATTACCAAGGCCTGAAGAAACCACATTTAAAAAAAAAATAAATGTGTAGTTTGTGCTTAATAAATAACTTAGAGTGTTAAGAGGTTGGACATATAATTCTAATGTGCCATTTCCATACAGTCTTAAGTTCAAGTCATAAACCTTTCCCAATGTTAAAGGAAACGAAATCATTTTTTAAAGTATTTGTTTAAAAGATAGACAACTATTCTTCATTTAAGTCCAAGGCAAGAATTTTAGAATGGTTCAATTAGAAATCCTTTGTTTAGCAAATACAGTGACTAGGGCTGGTAGTTACACTAGTAATCTAAAAATAAAACAGGCCATTTCTGGTTTCATTGAATAAATCATTACAAGTACAATTTGCATCCATAACAAAAGAGTTTAAAATTTAAAAATAAAATACTCTTTTCCCCAAGAAAAGAATGTATGCTTCTGAAACAATGTATGTATAAAGAAGATTAAACAATACACATTATCAACAAGAAATAAGCAATAACCCTGCCACTATAAAAATGCAAGCCAAAAGCCAATTCACACTAGAATCTTAAATACCCACATACTGGGGACACTACAGTTTATTGATCTACAGTCAGCTGTCTTGGCCAGGTGAAGCAGAAATATAAAATAATGTTACCGCATTCCTCACTATCAAAGAGAATACGAAATTAGTTTGAAATGTCCTTTCTGACAAAATAATGAATTCCTCCCGTCCCCCTCCAACAAGAGACCTTTTCTAAGGTGGGGAGAACCTATGGCATACAGAAATAAAGAATGCAAAACATATACCTCCGGCCTCTTTGATGCTGTACAGCTTGACAAGCTGTTTGCATGAAAATAATTCCCTTCAACTCAGGAAACTCAAGGATCTCAAGATAATCTTGAACAACTTTCCAGTCTGGGATCACGTAATGAGTCACATCACTAGACAAGAGTTTCCCATCTGAAACAAAATTCAAAATGTAAGAGATCACACAATGTTTCCAAACCTGGTTTATGACTAAATGTCAGAGCGCTCCGGCACGCAGAATAACTTCCTGTCTTAACTCCAAGGTGGGAGTTTTTAAAAGACAAATCTACTTTGGTAGAGGCCCCAAGTTCAGGTACATTGAGCACCCTCATTTTTTTTTGAAGCTGTGACAAACACAAGCTCAACGCGGTTTATGGTGTTGCCGGAGACGCAGGAGAGGATGACACATTTTCAGCATAACCTGAATATTTCAGGGTTAACTCATCATTGACAAACACGTCCCAATGAAGCACCCCCAAATTTATACCACTTGGGTTTGATGCGCAGCCATTTCAAGCAGGCTCTGTGAAGCTTTTCCAAGTGCTCAGCAGCCAAGGGCCACAGGGATCGGAATGAGAAAACGCTCAGCGAAGCAAGAGGGCGGAGCAAGAGGGCGGAGCTGGGGTCTCCAGCAGGCTCGGCCTGAAGGGTTCCCCTTAACCACAGAGTTTGGGGGATTCCAAACGTTCGCCGACAAGGACCCGCCACGCTCATCCTCCCGTGGGGGAAAGAGAAGCAGTCACGAGATCGTTCTAGAAGCCGAGGACGGGTGCTCGGGGGTCCCCGGTGCAAGTCCCCTCCGGCCTTCCTCTCCGGCGCCGGCCTGACAGTTCGCGAGTCTGCGGGGGACGTCTGGGCGCCCGCGCCGGCCGGGGGAGCCGGAGGCTGCAAAGCCGGCGGCCGGACGCCCCCGGGGGCTCCCCGCGCGGGGCCTCGCGTGTCACCGCGACGGCGGGGGGCCTCGGCTTCCGGCCCCCGGGCCTCTGAGGAGCCGCCCCCCGGCCCCGCGCTGCGGCGGGGTCTCTGCGGCCCCTCCATTGGGCAGGGCGGAGCGGCCGGGGAGTCCCGGGCGGGGCGCCCCGGAAGTCGCGGACCCCGGCCACTGGGTTCCGACCGGCAGAGGGCCGGGGTGACGCCGGGGGGCGGGCGCGGGCCGCAGGGCCTAGGCCCCAGAACGCCGCCGCGGGCGCTCCGCCTCCGGGCCGCGCTCAGCCCCTCGCCGCGGCCGCCCGACCTCCCGCTCCCGCCCCCCGGCCCCGCTCCCGACCTCCCGCTCCCGACCTCCGGCTCCCGACCTCCCGCTCCCGACCTCCGGCTCCCGACCTCCCGCTCCCGCCCCGGGCCTGACCGTGGCTGCAGGCGGCGGGCTGCGGGCAGAGCGGGCTGTGGCAGGGCACGCAGGGCCGCAGGTAGTGCTCGCGCACGATCCGCAGCGTGCGGCCCCGGAAGGTCCTCAGCAGCAGCACCTTCTCCCGCTTCTGCAGCATGGCGGCGGGCGAGGCCCCGGGAGGCGGCGGGCGAGGCCCCGGGAGGCGGCGGGGCGGCGGAGGCGAGGCCGTGGCTTCGGGCCCGCCCCTCGGCCCTGGGCGCCGCGGCTCCGGAACCGCCGTAACGGCCGCGCCCCGGGGAGGCCCGGAGCCACACGCTCCGGCTGGGCCCGGCCCGCCCCACCCCGGCCCCCCCCGGCCCGCCCCACCCCGGCCCCCCCCGGCCCGCCCCACCCCGGCCCCCCCCCGGCCCCCCCCCCCCCCCCCCCCCCCGGCCTCGGTTTCTTCCCTTCCCGCGGTAGCCTGGGCCAGGGAGGAGGGGCGGAAACGACCCGCCGCAGACACGGAGGGAAGACCAGAAAGACACCCGGACGGCCGGTGCAGAAGGGCGGGGAGCAGCCGCCCAGGATGGGGGACGTTGTCCCCCGGGTCCGCGTGGGAACCAAGCCGCCGTGTTAACACTCATGCTGTACCGGGTGATGAATGTTTTCTCTTCATTGCGCGCGCTATCTCTAAACGAGGTAAAAGACTCAGCAGATAAGCTGGCAACCCTGCCAGCCGAACATTCAAAAAGTCGTATTCATTTTTTAAAAAGTTCTTTTTTTTTGTTGCTGTGGGGGGCTGGTCTGAAGCGATCCACCCGCCTCGGCCTCACCCATCGTTGGGATTACAGGTGTGAACCGCTGCGTCCGGCCTTTCTTGTACTTTTAAAATTTGTTTCTTTTGGTATCCGTATCGAAGCTATGGTGTACCTGTGTATTCACACAATGGAGATAAAATGAAAACCAGTCTCTTCCCTTGAAGCAAGCACTGATCCACTCCAACTTTTGTAGCATTGGCAGCCTCTGGCAAAAGATTTCTCCTTTAAACTACCACGGACACAATCGCAAACGCACATGCTTGTATTAATAGCTCTTTTTTTGTGTGATAGGGTCTTGCCCTGTCACTCAGACAGGAGTGTAGTGTGTGATCACAGCTCACTGCAGCCCCTGAACTCCCGGGTGGGTACAAGCGATTCTCCCACCTCCCACCTTAACCTCTCCAGTAGCTGTGGCTACAGGCTTGGGCCACCACGCCTAGCTTTTTTTTTTTTTTTTTTTTTTTTTATTTTTTTTTGAGATGTGGGTGTCTCACTAGGTTACCTAGGCGGGTCTAAAACTCCTGAGCTCAAGTGATCCTTCCACCTCAGCCTCCCGAAGTGCTGCTTTTACTGGAGTGAGCCACCATGCCCAAACTGTAGCTCCTGATAAAGAGATACAGTCTTTTCTGAAGTCGCACACCCTTGTTTGGATAGAATCCACTGTTCTTTCAAGCACTTAACTAAGACTTTTGAGCTGCACTAGTAGCATTATATACGTGACCTATTTAATTTCCACGGTAAGTCAAAGGAGTGGGGCATTATCATTCCTATCTCATAAACTATAAAACAGCGTTAGGGAAGTTGAGTGGCCAAGGTTACCCAGTTATTTAGTGGTGGGATCAATATTCAAGCCAGAACCTGACTGAATTCAAAGCAGGCTCATAAGTAGTTACCGTGCTATTCACAGATGAGTAAAATAAAGGTCTTGCATTTAGAGACTTTATAGTCTGCTTGGTGAGCTCTAGTTAAGGCAGCTTCACCAGCTAGGTGGAAACATCAGACTTCCTGTGATGCTGAAGCAGGCAGAACTGAGGATACCCTGTTGGATGGCTCTTGACACCCTAGGGGAACGCATTAAAGAGAGCCACAATCTCCCACTCGTTCGTTGTATTTCCATGTCAAGTCACCCTGCAGTGTGAGCTGATGTGAATGAGATGTGAGGTGGAATTGCATGAATTGGGAAAACAGCACAGAGCTGGCCCGCAAGGCAACCAGCAGTGCAGGAGGCTGGTCCTAATTCAGGGGATCAGTTCTAGAGACCAGAGGACAGGCAAGTTGCCAGTTTTGTCTGCTACATCAGTACGTTCCCCAGGCAGCTGCCCACAGTTCCCTCCAAAACTCCCCCTTGTTCACTTTTCTTTTATTTCTGATGATACCAGGTTATGGAGGGGGTGTTGAAAGATACTAATCTGCTCATAACATTGCACTTTAGTACTTGGGTAGCTTGAAACTTTCTTCAAATTGGGACAGATGATCCTCTAACGAAGAGAGTATGTCTGAGGTTCTATTGAAAGTTGGTTTTATTAGTATTTTAAATAATTCAAGGTCTATTAAGCACTTCCTTTGCTTAAATTTTGGCAATCATGTATAAATGATGTTTTAAAAAGCATGATTCCTTAGTTCTTGGAACTAATGAGCTAAAATGGACAAGAGTGCCTTTTTGTTGATTGGTTGGTTTCCCTCACAGGCCATCTGATGCCTCTTGTCTGAAAAAAGGGGTCTATGCCTGTAAGAATAAGCCAGTTTATGCTGCGATAATATACAACTTTAAAAATCTCAGTGACTTGGCTGGACGCAGTGTCTCATGCCCGTAATCCCAGCACTTTGGGAGGCCGAGGTGGAAAGATCACCTTAGGTCAGGAGTTCGAGGCCAGCCTGACTAACACAGTGAAACCCTGTCTCTACTAAAAATAGAAAAATTAGCTGGGCATGGTGGCACATGACTGTAATCCCAGCTACTCAGGAGGCTGAGGGAAGAGAATCACTTGAACTCGGGGGCAGAGGTTGCAGTGAGCCGAGATTGTGACATTGCACTCCAGCCTGAGTAACAAGAGCAAAACTCTGTCAAAAAAAAAGAAAAAAAAAAAAGCCAGGTGTGGTGGCTCATGCCTGTAATCTCAGCACTTTGGGAGGCCGAGGCTGGTGGATCACAAGGTCAGGAGTTTGAGATCAACCTGGTCAAGATGGTGAAACCCCATCTCTAAAAAAAAAAAAAAAAAAAGAAAAGAGAAAAAAAAATCTCAGTGACAAGATGTTGCCTAGGCACCAAGAAGGTCTGCTCTGTGCCCTTTTCCAGGACTCGGGCTGTTGGAGCAGGCCCTCTCTGGAACAGACTGTGGTCATTGACAAAGGAAAAAGGTTCCCCAGGGAACCTCACTCCAGCAATTAAAAGTTCAGTCAAAAGTCAGGCATTTCACTTCCACCTGTTGACCACAGCATAGGAGTGGGTGGGGCAGGAAGTGCGTACCTCCTCATGGCCTGAAGGCAGAGCACTGAAGCCCTTTGGTGAGCAGCATCAGTGCCTACCTGAGTGCCCCAGCGCAAATCCCTTATCCCCAGATGAGTCAGTCTGCTCTGCTAGCACCTTAAGCTTTGCTGCTTGTGACTACTGCAGCTCAGCCCATTGTCTCATCTCTGCTTGGGCATTCTACTGCTCACCTCTTTTCACATTTGACATGTCTTTCCCAACTTCTGTGGGCCCATAGGCCAAGGATACATCACCACATTATCTCTAATCTTTATTACAATTCTTCAGTGTAAATATGTGATTTCTTGTGGCAGAGACTGGTTCTGGCTCTCTGTTTGCCAAATCCATGCCCCCTTTTTCTCTGGGCGCACAGATAAACCACATCTCCTCGCTTGCCTGGCAGATAGTTAGGTGCGGCCATGTGACTTGAGTTCTAGCTGGCAGAATATAATGGCACCATTTCCAGGCCTGTCCCATAAAAACCTCCCATGCATGCTCCTTTTCCTGTTCCACCAACTGGAGACCAATGCCCAGGGGATTTGGGAAGCCAGCATTAGAGATGGCAGACCCCTCACCAACTTGGGTCCCTGAAGGACTGTTCACAGCTGAGCCCTGCCGCTGCCTTTGGCCCAGGAGCATCCACAGTGGACATTTTTTTGATAAAGAGTCTCACTCTGTGGTCCAAGCTAGAGTGCAGTGGTGCAATCTCGTCTCACTGCAACCTCTGCCTCCTGGGTTCAAGCAATTCTCTTGCCTCAGACTCCCGAGTTGCTGGGACTATAGGCATGTGCCACCATAACCAGCTTATTTTTCTATTTTTTGTAGAAACAGAGTTTCATCATGTTGGCCAGGCTGGTCTGGAACTCCTGACTTCAGGTCATCTGCCTGCCTCGGCCTTCCAAAGTGCTGGGATTATAGGTGTGAGCCACCGCGCCCGGCCCACAGTGGAGTCCGGTAAGGGAGAAATAAACTTCTGTTACAGCGGCTGTCATCACCCTAAGTAATTACTGTCTTTGTAGAGGAGATTAAGGAACTTGTCCAAGAGTTGTAGGGCTATTTGTTCAAAAATCCCGCACTAGATATTATATGTCCTCATGAAGCTGCTTAAGATTTCCTTTTTTTTTTTTTTTTTTTTTGAGACAGAGCCTCACTCTGTCACCCAGGCTGGAGTGCAGTGGCGTGATCCCTGCTCACTTCAACCCTCGCCTCCCAGGTTCAAGCGATTCTCCTGCCTCAGCCTCTCAAGTAGCTGGGATTACAAGCGCCCGCCACCACGCCCAACTAGAAGCTGCTCAGGATTTCTAGAGCAGGTCTAAATCGCACAGTTCTCTAGGCGGCGGGAGAGCGTCAGTGGCCAGCCGTGTTCCGGCTTGGTCAGGGCTGCAGTGCAACACTGGGAAGGATGCCTGGGGGTTAGTTCTTTCAGTTTTCCCTCTCCTTGTCAGTCCAAATGCAGATGGACAGCCTGACATCTAGACAGAAGAATGCTGTGACAGCTTTCAGTACCCTGTTGCCAACAGAAATCTGTGACTGTGACTTGGTTTCTTTGGTGCGTGACTTCAGTTTTCAGGCTGAGCACCAGTGTGCTTACACTGCAGAGGAGTTTGTAGCATTGACACATGCCTTCTTGCAGATGTGCTCTTGGAGTGCGGTCGGTCGTCAGCAACTACTGGATTGTAACCAAAATGTCTCATCAAAAAATTAGCCTGGGGGATGGGTGGGACATCTTTACAAAGGTCTAAGAGAACAGGGGTGTTAAATGTATAAAAGAAATTCCAAGGCCGGGCGCGGTGGCTCAAGCCTGTAATCCCAGCACTTTGGGAGGCCGAGGCGGGTGGATCACGAGGTCAAGAGATCGAGACCATCCTGGTCAACATGGTGAAACCCCGTCTCTACTAAAAATACAAAAAATTAGCTGGGCATGGTGGTACGTGCCTGTAATCCCAGCTACTCAGGAGGCTGAGGCAGGAGAATTGCCTGAACCCAGGAGGCGGAGGTTGCGGTGAGCCGAGATCGCGCCATTGCACTCTAGCCTGGGTAACAAGAGTGAAACTCCGTCTCAAAAAAAAAAAAAGAAAT